TGCGAGAGTGTGAGTGTAGGTGTAAGGGGTTTTTGACTTGGCTCCTGTCTGGGCCAATACCGACTAAATTACAAGGCAGCGGCAGTCTGAGGATGCAGCCTTTCATCCGCACTTCTCCTGGCCTGCAGGGCTGCTGGCAGGGTGGATAGCGGTAAGGTTGTTGGGGGATGATCCTGCTGCAGTTGAAGAGGAGGAGAGATTGATGGGCTGTGTCAAGGAGCAGATAATAGAGTGTGTGATATCACCTCATTAGGAAAATTCACAGCTGGATGCTAAATGGGAATAAGTAGGGAAGGAGAAGAAGATAGAGAAGTGGTGCTTATTTAAGCACTTGAAAAAAAATGCCAGAGAACGTCGATTTTTTTCGTCAGAAGTCTTGTTTTTCTTCTCACCTGAGGCCATGTGGCTTACTCAGCTCAGTATAGCCATGTTGAAGATTACTCAGCCTGACTGTGAAAGTAAGAGAAAGCTGCCAAGAGGTCAATGAAATGACTGAAGGCTGATGTGTTTTCTTTGGCCTCATTTGGGGCAACAGCTGACCACTAAATTACCATTAAAAGCTTTCCCCATATGGACTCCTGTCTCCATGAAGCCTTCTCTTAAAGGCCTCTTAGGAACTCGAGCTTTGTTGCACAAGCACAGACTCACTTAAGCAAAAGTTAGAGATTTGACTGAGCAAGGTGAAAGGAAGCACTGATGTGTTTTTTAGCCGGGGGAAGATAACAAAAAAAAAAAAAAACAGCCAAAGTTTAATGGAGTCTGGCAGAGAGAGCACAGTCTGTGTCCCGGTTGTTGTTGTTGTTTTTGTTGTTGTCAAATGGGTTTTTAGTGTGTTGCAGACATTGATGGTGTCACAACAAGGCCAACAGTTCACATCTCAGCAGGGAGCCTGACAAACGGTGTCAGAGGGCTCATATCGGCAAACAAATTCAAGGAAATATAACAAATGTGGATGCGTCTGTGAAGGACACAAGGGGTCACTGACTGTTTTGATCAGTATACAAATCATATTAAATATAGCTGCAAGCGACATTGAGAGGGCCAAGCAGTTCAGTAGGGCACAGTCCCAATGGCAAATAAATTATCATGAAAAAAATAAAAAATATATAAAATTAGGTGTAGGCGTTAAAAAGGGAACATTTATTTATTGCAGGGCTGTAACAGAGATGGTTTTAAATATCTAAAATCCATCTGGTAACATTAGTGAAGCTTGGTCTGAACGTTATCTTTACTAGTTGTGGTGAAGATTAATCAAATGTATATACATATAATCAAAAAATAACAACAAACAAAAAAAAACTGAAACATAAATTAACATAATTTAAGCCCAAAACCCATTATTGTGGAAATTGACGTCATGGAGGCTTTGACTTCACTTTGATCTGAGGAATCCAACAATGCCCCATTTTTGAAAATTAGGAACATATAAGCTGCAATCAGAAAGTTCTGAGGCTGCAACTAGAAAATCAAAAACCTTACCTGATTTAAATTGGTTTAAAATAGTCTCCTTGTGCAGCAATACTTGCTCGCAGTGCTTGTAATGTTTCCTACAAGTCCTGTTACGTAGACATGTTACCATCTGCAATGAGTCTCTTAAACTGTGTCAAAATAGCGACACTTCAACTTGAATTTCATTTAGAGGAAATCACAGGGAGAAAAATCTAACAAGTTGGACAGATGGGGCGCAATCATTGTGTTGTTGTGGTAAAGAAAAAAACTACATCCATATTTGCTGCACTGTGACCAGGCATACTGCATATTGGAGCACCCTCATGTCACAATTCAGGTTGTTTGTGCTTTATGTTCTCCTTTAGACACCTCAGAACGTTCCAGTGGAACTCTGCCTCAACAATAAGACCCTGAAGAATGAATTTCCAGTGCATAGTCACATAAATGCTGAATAAAACAACAAGCTGATCTCAGAGACTGCAGCTCTCCCACTGTTACAACTGTTGTTTCTTCTGCCGATGGCAACCACAGACCAACCTCTCATCACCAGTGATGATTCTCTACATGCTTCTGACTCAAATAGAATGTGATGTTTTCTCTCTTTCTGCTCCAGTTTGAGGTCCAAGGAGAAATCAGATTTTCTCACATGTTGCACAAGTGTGATGCAGTTACAGTCTTGGAACTTTTTGATCACCCCTGTTAGGTTCAAAGGCTTTTTGCATATGAGTGTCTTCAACTTGTGGTCTTCAACAAGTGATCAAGATGCAGATGTGAAACTCGGTGAAAAGAATCAAACAACTGTTCCAAATCAGTGTGCAAATTTCAAAACTTTTAAGTATATGGCTGTAGGGGCTGCATAGACTTGACTGGCAGAAGAAGAGAGAAGATGAAGAAGAATAAGAAATGGTCGAAACCCAATGAGTCTTTGCAGTGACCACATTTCAACTCAGTATCTTAAAGCAAATTGTGATTTAAAAAGCTAATATATGAGTTGGCAATGGAACAACCCAACATTTTGAAAATATGCTTACATGTTTTTTTTACTAAGAGTGAAATGAGAAAACTGACTCCACTCTGATTCTGCAGCCAGAACTAGGAGATGGTTGAGATTAAGACAATGGGAACAGTGATCTTGGCTCTGCAAAAGTTCAGCATCACTCTCTAAAGTTTCAAAATATATCTACTTAAAAACATTTAATATCTCGTTTGTTTAGCTCCTCAGTTGTTGTTTATATTTGTGCACGAATATGAGAGTGACCAATCTTATAATTTAACTCTTTAATTCTTCAAATGAGCAAAAAAATATATACTTCCCAAAACTGTTTCATAAATAAAAAAGTTTTATGCTCACTTTAAAGTCACTCTCATCTTCTTGATTAAACCCCTAAAAAAGCATATCAGTGTTTCAGAGTGACATATTTAGAATTTTCATCTGTTAAATGAATTCCATCCTGTCTTAAAATAGCTTAAACACCATTTGTGTTTCAAAAAGAAATAAACCTGGCATTGACCGTTTATAGTGCTCATGATGTGTCTTCCAGCTTATAAAAAAACTCATATGGACATGTTAACAAGGTAAAAACCTGTATTTTTACCAAAGTTGGTCTTAACTTTCAATCACAATTTACTTGAACTCAATCATCTGGACCGCATCATCTTGTAAAATTGCAGTAATATGTGATGATACAATTCCACTGGAAGTCAATAGCAACTCGAAGCCAAGCCATATTTCCATATTCACAGCAAACATGCAAAATCAAACATGGCACTCAGAGAGAAACATCTGGCAGGAGTAAAACATTTCATTTAGCAGCAATTGAAGCAGCTCTGTTCCACCAGCGCAAATCTGCTGTTTGCTGAGTTCACTTCCAGCATCTACAGCTGAGCAGGAGACACAGCACAGATCGCGTTTTCAGGTCAGCAGGGTCACAGCAGAGGGCTTTTAGATCACTCTGGGTCGTTTTATGGAAAACGTCAGGTTGCCTCTGAGTAGCAGATAAACACTCGGCCTCTCCAGGGGATCGCATGCATGGCACCATGTTTCTTGGAAAAGACCTGTCACAGACATCACAGTAGCAGCAGCTCGCTCGAAAATCACATGCAGCAGTTGGATCTGCAGCCGCAGCCTGAGGTTTAGTGCAGTCTCCCTGACCTTTGGTAGCTGCAATCAGGAGTTGAACTATGTATTTTCTGAGCGAAAGAGACTAAAGTTAGCTTCTGGCTGCACTACAAAGCAAACTTGGAGCGTGCTCAGCCAAAGCTGCCTCTCATCACACATGGAGGTCAGACAGAGTGTGTTTCGGTAAAGCTGCCAGGTCAAGGACGGGCCCGGGAAAGTCCGCCAGGTAGAGGAAGACTGACGGGAGCGTTTGTCTGCTAAAGCAAAAGGCTCAGCAGTTAATCCTCAAGGTTTTTCATGGATTTTCCTACAGATGTGTAAGATACAATCTCGAGCCAGTCCCTGAGTGATACTCTTTTATGCAGCTTAATGTCTGACTGCTGTTATTTTAATGCAGTCGTGTGTGTTTCTTAAAACCACTGTGTTAGATTTGATTGTTTCCTAGAGTCTGACTTCAGCATAAAGACGGGGTTGAAACATGTGTTTGTGAGCTCCTGTGTTATTGCATTTACACGGTATTACAGTATAAATGACTTCTGTGTGCATTTCAAACAGTCAGCACCCAAACAAGCCTGACCAAATGGCTTCGACTAAACTTTGACCTCATGCAGCCCCTCCATGTATTATGTGTAATTTGAGCTCCGTAACTCGAGGAGGTGCGAGGGGGGGAGCAGTGGGATTGGTCCAGGTAGCGGTCAGTGTTTAGAGGATGAAAGTCACATTCTCAGGTTACATTAATACCTTTTGTGTGGCTGCAGGTAATAGCATTGCATTAGTAAACAGCCTATTGTCCTGCTAACAGCCAGTCTGATTGTCTTGCTTTTCTTTCTCAGGCTTTGATGAGTTTGTTATTTCATCTCCACCTTAGATCCCAAAACCTTTTGTTTTTTTTTGCTTTCTGCTGGCAAAGATGTTCGTATGTAGATGAACATTGGCTCCACGGCTCATTTGTCAGAAGCTGTGGAGTTCACCTTAACCAGTGTATCACCACAAAAATGCTCAAGTGGAAATTTAAAGGTTTTCTTACCCGTGGAGCTCAGCAGGCTCCTCGTGATGAAAGCTGCCTTTCCATTACATCTGCTGGCATACGCTGTATTTGCAATAGATCCAGTGACGTATGCTGTACCTCATTTATCAAGAAACATATTAAAGAGACTTGAAAGGGGTTCGTTTGCAACCGTTTCTCTCCACTAAGCTGAAACTGGGGGATTTCCTTTATATTGGCAGCAAGCTTAACACAGTATCATCAGGACAGAAGGATTAAATGTGGCTGGAACAAGATGTTTTAGTATTTAACAGTTGCCCCTGAGGGTTTTAAAGATCGTATAGTATAAATGCTGCTGTGGGATGTTGATTTCCACCCTGTTGTACGTTTCTCCTGTAACTTTCCTGACTCTGACCTGCTCCGTCTCTTTCTCTCTCTGGCTGACAGCGGTGTCTAACCTGGATGTGGAGAGTAAGCTGACGGCACATTACCAAGCTCCCTGGCACCAGCAGAGGAACATTTTCCACCCCTCCACGCGGCCAGCATGTGTAGAAGAGCTCCACAGGCAAGCCAACCTCAGCCTGTGGGCCGTGCACCGAGGTGAGGCCCTCAGCACCACTCAGCCCCTCCGACCACAACATGGGAGGGAAGCCAGAGGAGCTGCTCTGAAGCTGTCACTCCCAATTAATGCGGCCCTCCCGCTTTATTTCACAAGACATTTTTAAAGTCCCTTCAAAGATGCATGCAGCTCACCTAGTTTTTTGAAATATGTGATTCTGGTGTCGTTCTGCCATCTTGTGGAGATAGTTTGTAACTGCATTGTGAATGTGAGAGCAGTACAGGGTTGTCTTGTTACATTACTAATAATTACACATGTCACAAAGCTAGTATTGATGGCAGGCCTATTGTATTGATGTCTATAGTTCTGTTATCTTCTGATCTGTGGTTTTGAATTGTTTCTCCTTCAGTGTTTTGTATGTTTTCTGCTTCAGATCACCAGAGGAGACGATCAGGCAGCAGGGAGCGAAGAGTCACCATCTCGATCTCTGCTTTGCCCCCGATGCCCATGTACCCCTCTCCTCACGTCGTCCAGAGACAAGACAAGAGGGGTGCGAATCTGTCAACGGTGAGACAAATAGTTTCATAGTAGCTGAAATAAAGAAGTAAAATGCAGTCAAATCTGTGATGTCAAATTATATAACTACATCTGATGTTATAAAACTGACATGGAGGAACCCCAGGCAGTTAGAAAAATATAATCCTCCTCTCCATGTTTAAGCTTGCAAAGACGTCATTGCTTTCACAGTTTATATAATATTTGAATGGCCTTCATTCATTCTGATATTTTTATTTGAAAGAAGCCATCAGCTTTACATGGTGATGACTTAGAAAGCTTCAAAAGACTCTCTTCATGCTGTGTAACTTGGAAAAATGCATTTATTGGCTACACTTCAATGCTAGACTTGAGGCAAATTGTTTGTCACAAAAAGAAGCCATCTTATACAGGGAATGGATGTAACTCACCAATCAGTATCTCCCTGTACTATGAGAAGATATGAATCTCAAAGTGCCATTAGACAAAACAGCTATTTTTAATAACATAAAGGAGGTTCGACAAACATTCTATATAGGAACAAGCAAAAATTTACCTCAAAATGTCCTTTAACGCTCTGAACCCCTAGCTGTTTCTCAGCAATTTTTTATTTATTTTTGCTCTGGTCACACACAGTTTAAAGTCCCGCGCGCCTTTGGAAACAGCCCAATCATAGCTAGAAGTAGAAAAAACAGTACAACAAAGTTATGTTTATAAATTATAAAGAGTTTTTAAAAAGTTGAATTTCTTTGATTATTTATTTTGCAAAAATAGGAACAACCTGGAATCAACATGTTCAACATTTTTGCAAGTGTCAGTTGTTACTTATTGAAAAAAATGGGGTTTTTTAATCGTATAGTCACTTTTTAGTTATTTCCATACTGCTCTGTGTAAACAGCCTGCAGTTCAGGTAAATCATTCCTGACTTTTTTGTCACATGGCCTGAGTCACTCATGGCCTCCAGGTTGCACTGAGGAGTGCAGAACTTTTGCAACAGTTTTGTGGGCAAAATTTTAAATGAGGTTTGTAGAGTAAAGTGATTTGGCCATAAACCTAGATTTGGTTACGTTGTCCAACAGAACAGTTTAAGGACCGTTAGAAAGTTAAAAATCTAAATTATATCCCTAAATATTAGCATCATTTTTGCAGAAAACTTTAAAGATGGCATTTTAAAAGACAAAATCATAAAATACTATGATATTAATGCTTAAAGAGGCCTTAAATTCTTGCCTTAATCTCCAAAATCTTGAAGGGGCCATATGTAGATGAACTTGCAGGGATATATTGACATTACGAGTGAAAAAAAAGTATTAATGAAAAAAACACAATCCTTCATAATAAATACCACAAGATCTCAGAGAGTCTCAATCTGCTCACTAGTATTAAAAATAATCATCAGTCTGTTGTCAATCTTTTGATATGTTAATGAGATAGATAGATCGTGGTGATGTTTTACCTCCTGTAATCAGATTTTTACATACTTCTGAAGTGACATTTACATTTCTCCCTTCTAAGCAGCCACAGAGGCATTTTAGAGATGCGACAACACAGTTAGCTCAGGTAAAGAGGAACGTGGACTGTGTCTGTAATGTCGTGTCGTCTTGTTCATGCGTTCATTGTTTCATCACCTTGAAATGTAGCATTAATTGTTCAGGATTTTGTTCTCAGCTCATCATCCTGCCCTAAAACAATTATTCCTCGACAAGTTTACCCCTTTATTGTTTTTCTTTTTCTTTTCCTGTGTGTTCATGTTGAATATCACCATGTTCATGTCTATCATTTGTTTTCTGTTGTCCCCTGTTTTTGTTGTTGTTTTTTGCCCTGTGGTTCAGTTCGAATCCACCCGCTCCTCCTCCCCTACCGAATGTTGCCGCTTCTCTCCCTGGAGCAGAAAGGTATTGATCCTCCCTCCCTCCCTCATTTTTAGCTCCTGAGTGCTCCTTCTAACCCTTTTATTCCACCTGCCCCTGTCTGTTTGACTCCTTCTAATTTGCATAATGAATCTCTTTTTAAATGCATGCCCTCTCAATGCAGCCTTTTCTCTGGCAGCAGCCGCTCCACCCAGTTAGGACGCCTCAAAGTTTCCTCCACGCGACACGTCACACGTTTGCTCTGACAGTAGTTGTTGGGTTTCATGCGAAGGGTTTTGAGTCTTCAGAATGTGAGGAATGTGTGCGTGAGGGCCGCAATCACAGCCGCCCAGCAGCCGGGGTTTCTCTTAATGATAGGGTCGACTCCTCGCAGCTTGCGCCTGTGATTACCCATGATCCCTCGCTGCACAGCTGACAGCCTCATGTTTCTCTCTTTGTGCTGTTTTTTTTTTTCAACAAATACATGATGCCCACATTGAAAAACACCAAACACTGCCACTCCTTTTTGTTTTTTCCTCTCAGCCTGCATGTGTCCACTCCTCCGCCTCTTCCTCTCACCATCTTTTCATTCCCTCCTTCGTCCGGCTCATCCTCTTCTTCCTCTGAAACGCTCCTAAAAACCGCCTTTCTGTTCTTAAAACAAGTGAGCTGTATATGGTGTCCCCTTTGATTTTTTTGTTTTTTTTTTCTTTCCTACAAGTTGGGGAGAAGTTTCCAAGGAAACCGGTTTTCTTTTGTGGCTGGGTTTTTTTGTCAGGGTCTCATTGGTCTGCTGGGAACAGAGAGCACAAAGGCTGGAGAGCTGGCTTTAAATGGGGGGTGGGAGGTTGTCGGGTTGTGGAGGTGGGAACCAGTTGAGCCTGAGAATCACTCCCAGTTTCACATGTGTCTCTCTGTCGGAATCTGGAGGTAAGAAATTAAATTCATTTAGCATGGCGGTATAAGAAGCAACGGGGGAATGGGGGGGGCTTAATCTGGAGAGCTGCGAAGGGGGGATCCTGCGGAGAACGGATCAGAAGTTGTGGGGAAGTCTTGAGTTGTGTGGTGAGTGATACCGAAGCTCAGAGGAATGCTGAAGTGAAGTATTTCCTCTCAAAATATTTCCGGAGACTCGTTATTATGCAGGAGACTCGCAAAGGTGCCCGCAGATTGTCAGAGCATGAGCTAAGAGTTTCCTGAGCGCCGTGTTGTGACTGGAAATGACTGTTTACGCCGTTTGTCACATTTCTGTCCCGTTTGGTAGCTGCTGAGTGAAGGCTCTTTATCTTGACATGTGCAGTCAGGGTTTGAAATTCTAAAGTTCTTCTTTCTCTCTTTTTTTTTTTTTGCATGAAACCTTCGGAGTAGATTCTTTAAATGTTTCTTGTGCTTGCCATTCATTCTCGCATGCTTCCATTACTTCTTGGGTTCTCTGCACTTTAACATGAAACTCAGCTGCTTTAAGGGCAGGTGTATCGATTTGCCTCAGTCTGCTGTTTGCTGCAGATTAATAAGATGCTAATCTCCACATCTAGTCTTTAGCTTTTTCCCAGAAAATTTTACGACAATGCCAGCGTAATCCCCGACTTTAATCAGTCAACTCTGCACGTCCCTTTCTGAAGCTGAGTTTGTTCATATTTTTTGTTTTTTAACTCTCACGTAATACCGCCCAACCTTAACAATCTAACCATGCAAATATCCATCTGTTGCAGGCTGCGCCCTCTGACCCCGACACTGACGGGGTGGCTCTAGGTCACCGGTCTAAGTTCCCCATCCCTAACATCCCCTCCACCCTGGACAAGCAGACTAACTGGTCTAAAGCTCTGCCGCTGCCCACCCCAGAGGAGAGAATGAAATGCAATTCCCAAGTCATCAACTCATGTGTCATCCCCATTAATGTGACTGGTAAATTTGAATCACTTCATGTTTTTTTTTTTTCCAGACTGAATCTGTTTACTGTGATGGGACTGAGCTGTGGTGTAGATTTCTGAAACTGATTTGTTAGCTCTTTCTCAGAAGTGCAAACCTTCTTGACCTCATCTTTAAAGGAACAGTTTGACATGCTGGGAAATATACTTAGGAGCTTTCTTGCATGCTGTTAGATGAGAACACCGATACCCCCAGTGGCTTCCTTAGGCCCTGACGTCCAAAGATATAGCACTAAATGTTTTTAAAATAGCTTTTCATCTGTTCTTCAGTTTAACTCAAGTTTCCCTCATAACTACACACAGAACGAGGCCTCTTTAATTATTAATGTAACCTACAAAATAGGTCAATGGCACTGCAGCAAGTGTGGCAATAAAAACACATTTTATTGTTTTGTTATAAGACGCTGTAATTAGAAAAGTTAACATTAGGCCATGGGCAGGTGTTTTTTGTCAGCAATACAGACTGCATTCACTTGGCTCTAAAATAACTTGAAAATGGTGCAATTGTCAGGTTGAACTCAAAAGATTGCTGAACTGGGCTGAACATCCAATGTGTCAAGACCCTAACATCTAGATGTCAGTAATGTCTGTCAAGAGCTGCAGCCAGAACACAGTTAGCTTAGCTTAGCATAAAGACTTGATGAAATAGGTAGCCTGAGTTTGTTGAAAGGTAGTTTTAAATCATTTATACTTTGTTAATTAAAAAATAGAATAATGAGCTTTGCAGTTGCTAGTTGTTGGATTTTGTTGCTTTTAGACAGGGTCAAGCTTGCTGCTTTGCTTGCAGTGTTTATGCTAAGCTAAGTTACGCTAATCGTCTTGTTATTCTAGCTAAATGAGAGCAATATCAGTTGTTCAGCATATTTCTCCATGTCAAACAATGACCAGCAACTCTAAGCTGAAGTTATTATTTAACTTAGCGTGTTTACAGAATTAAAAGAGACATGATGTATTCATGAAGTGAGCTTCAGAGGCAGTAGGTAGACATTTTTAAACTTTATTGGAACTGCTAAGCTAAGCTTTCATCTGACCATAGCTTCATATGTAGAGCAGAGGCATAAATATGGAAATAGTTTTACAGGAAAGGATTTCACACATGATGCATTTATATGTTAATACAAATTATAAAATATGATGCAGTGTTTTAATTTACAGGTGCTTTTAGACAGGATCAAGCTTGCTGCTTTGCTTGCAGTGTTTATGCTAAGCTAAATTAGGTTAATCGTCTTGTTGATCTAGCTAAATGAGAGCGATATCAGTTAAGCATGTTTCTCCAAGCCAAACTATAAATACCAGCAACTCAAAACTTCATTACTTCATCTATTAAGTGTACAGTTTTAAAGGAAACATGCTAATTATTTAATCAATTTCCCTTTGTTTCCAGTGTTTGCTAGACCTGCTATGCAAACTTGCACCTGGTCATAGCTTCATATTTGACATGAGTGTAGCATCAGTCTCATAGGTGTAGATTTTAGGTTTAATGCATTTATATTTTAGTACAAATCAGGAAATGTAATATAATGTTTTAATTAGTGAGCTCTGGAATTGCTATTAGTTGGACTGTGTTCATTTTATACAGGGTCAAGCTCGTTGCTTTGCTTCCAGTGTTTATGCTAAGCTAAGTTAAGCTAATTCTCTTGTCATTCTGGCTAAAAGAGAGTTCTGGTAATTGTTAAGCACATTTCTGTCACACTTTGAATACCAGCCACTCTAAAGCTCATTACTTAAGATACTGTGTGTAAAAAATTAAACAAGGCATCATGTGTTCTTTAGCAAGCTTTATGGGTGAAGATAGGTGTTTTTTTTTTTTTGTTTTTTCAATTTGGCCAGCAAAAGACACAAATAATGACAGAAATAATGTATGTGTATTGACAGATTAGTAAATATTAAGTAGAAAAAGTTGCTTGACAGGAGAATAAATGTTTGAAAGTAACAAAAAAAATCCAAAGAGTCATAAAACATTATAATCTATTATATTTTAAACTGTCATCTAATTCCTACATTTTGTGTTTTCTTTTGCGTAAATACATTTCATTCATAAATTGTTGCAGAAAAGGTGCAAATAGGTGTGAGAAAAATGAACCGGAATGCTGAAAATTAAGTGTTGGACGCCTAAATGGGCACGCATCCAATCCCCTACTTACAATTCGTGCAAAATGTATGCTAAAGATCAATATCTATCTGACTGTCAGCAAGAAAGCAAATTTGCATTTTTCCAAAATGTCAAACTATTCTGTTAACAGTTAACACGGTTGTTTAGCACACAGTATCCATTAAAAAGAGTCACACAGTCACTCCTTCGCTCTGCATTCCTGGGTTTTGGCACTCTCCTGCGCCACAACCGTTTTTGTGTAGAGTTTAATTTCCCTGAAAAAATGAAATATTTGGAAGGAAAGCAGGAAATTCGGCAGCCGGCAGTGAAACAAGTCATTATTAATGGGCATTAACGCTGCTACAGAGACTCACTCTCAATGTGCAAGTCATGCTTTGTGCCCTGTTAACTTTGTTTCTCATGCTTTGTGCCTGCATTTGCAAAGAGGCGAGATGCTGTGACATGAATGCCAATTAGTTGTGTCCGAATTGTTGAAAAGGCCTGCCCGATGTTAATTTACTCTCGCTCACATTGACTCAAAAGGAGAGTTGTAGGCCAGCACCGGCTGAGTCAGAGACAGTTTGGGATAAAAAATGCACATTGTAAGCAAAGTCCAGCAAATCGCTATGGTGCTGAAAGGCCTGACTTGTTATCACATGATAGTCATATTGTATGGTCAGGGAGTGGCAGGAGAAGTAAAAAGAAACACACGAGCAGAGACTGTCACAGCAGGATCTTTATTCTGGTTAGCGAGCCAGTCAACGTGTTTGACTTTTCAGGGTCAAGTACTGTTTATCATTTCTTTGTGTTACAGCTAAGTCATTAAATTAAGCAGCGGCAATTACTCCTCGTTCTGAAACCAGTCCACCTCGTGTAGATTGTCACACTGTGGCTTTAAGCTCCATCAGATCTCTGTCCTCCATTCCGAACTGCTATTTTTGTAGAACACCTAATTTAGTTCAGCCATTTAATTATTTTTTATGAGACAGCGTGAGAGTTAAAGCAGGAGTCTCTGCAGTTGCGGCTGAACAAAGATTCCTCAGATGTCCTGTCTCCATTGCAGGGGTTGGCTTTGACAGAGATGCTAGTGTGCGCTGCTCGCTCGTTCACTCGCAGTCTGTGCTTCAGAGGAGACGGAAGCTGAGGAGACGGAGGACGGTCGCCGGCGTTCCCAGACAGGTGCAGCAGGACTTAGGTATGTTACTTCACATGTGAGGCCTGAAAATGAGTTCAAACTGCTGTTTATTTAATATTTTCTGTAAGGTTTTGCATGCTGTCTCATGTCAGTTTTTAAAAAGTGGTTTACTATTAAAGGGACAAATTATATTCTGTGGCATTCTTTCATTGTGATGACAATTGACAATAGCGTAAATTGTAATTTACTGCCATTATCTTTTTTTTTTTTTTTTTTTAAAGATACATAAGAATTTCTGTATTTAAAAGAAAAACACATCAACTACTAATAGGAGGCATATTTTCCTTTTTGTCTTTGTTACAGTTTTTAGGTATTTTGTGGGCATTTCATACTTTACATGACAAAAAAATAGAGGAGATGATGGAGAATGACAAAAGTGATTCATTCTCATTGTCTTGACTGCTTAAAAAATGTTTTTTTTGTTGTTGATTTTTTTTAATGCAACAACAACTCTCTGAACCCTGAACCATTTGGGGGCATTTTTTGTTCCTGTCACATTTTTACTCACTGTGGACTCACTTTTTACTGCTACATGAAGTCTTCCACTTCTATGGAAACAGTACAATCATGACTAGAATTAGAAAGAACTCAAAAATGTCTTCTGTGTATTAAGACAAAGTTATAATGTCATAAATCATTAAAAAACAAGAAAAATGAAAGTAGAATTTCTGTGCTTACATGGAAAAAAATGGAGTCAACATGTACATTTACTAAGTGCTACCACAACTGGAAAAACAAATGTTGAGATTACATAACACAGATAATTTACGACTTACAATTTTGCACTGCTTTGTGTAACACAGCCTGTAGTTCAATCAAATAGCTCTTGAATTGTCGATCGAGTCACTAATGCCTCCATAGTTGCACCGAGAAACACAGAAATTTTCGGTTTTTGCAGGATCTGTTCTAAATTTTGGCCTGAAGGGTTCATATTTGCCACATTTTTTAATGGAACCAATAGAATAAAAATACTATTGTGATGATAGATCGTGATTTTAAGCTTATATTTTGTTTAGTTTTCTGATGGAACTCTATGAATAGTTCAACATCTCTCTGAAAGCTTAGAATCCATGAGTTCTGTCTGATAAATGCTGTTATGTTCTTTTAAAGATGACATGCCTTTTGAGCCTTCTGGCAGATTTTGAGGTTCCAGGAGTTGAACCCTTGAAAAAACAAAGACACCTAAATCCATAAATGCAAGCTGAAGAAGCGCTGTATAGGGCAACACATATGCCCTGAGCAGTGGAACAGGAGCTCGATCAGTCCAGCCAGACTATTTGCTGCCTGTTGTCCCCCTTCTCTCTCTCACAGTTTCCTGCCTCTCGTCACTGTCCTTTCAAATAAAGACCCAAATACAAAGCCCAAAAATAAATCTTAAAGAAAGACACACTCTATAAAGAACAACAAAGTGTGACATTTCTATTTTCATGTGTAAATTGTATATTCTTTTGCTTACAGTCCTTTTGCTTCTTTCTTCTCCCAGACTCCGATGACTCTCCTGGTTCCAGAGAGCGGACAGTGATAGTTCATGCCAGTCCAGATATCACTCCTTCCAACGAGGAGCTCGCCAGCCATCTCAGCACCAGAGACTCCGGTTGCCAGACAGAAGACTTTTTGATCTCAGGAGCACCGTCTCGCAGGAGGATCAGGGCCCAGAGAGGTCAGGGAGTCTCCCTCTCCCTCTCCCACTCTGCCGGCAACATCTCCTCCCTGCCTGACAGCGCAGACGCCATGTTTTCTGCCTCCGTAGGAGCTCGCCTGCGTTCCCGGAGTCTGCCTCGAGACGGCAGCCGGATGCTGGACAACGGGCATAATGACAGCGATGATGAGGAGGAGCTGTCCCCCTTCAGCACTGAGGGCTTCCTGCCTGTACCAAGAGAGCTGATTCTGAAGGATGAAGGAGAGAGCACTGATGACCAGGCCATGCCCGAACATCAGCTGGGTAGCCTGAAGTACAACCAGCTGTCAGAGAGTCCAGAGCGCAGCTGGATGGAGCGGACCAGGTCCCACCTGCCCAGGAAGGCCGACATGGGCAGCTGTGAGATCTCATCCAGTTCCGACACCTTCAGCAGCCCCGTCCACTCTGTCTCAGCTGCAGGAGTGCTGGGAGGCCAGATGGACCATAAGGATGACCACCAGTCCTCCAGTGGGAACTGGAGCGGCAGCAGCTCCACCTGCCCGTCCCAGACGTCAGAAACAATCCCCCCTGCAGCCTCTCCACCACTCACCGGCTCCTCGCACTGTGACTCTGAGCTGTCCCTCAACGCTGCCACTCACACTAATGATGACCAGACCAGCTTCATGCTGGACCCATACCAGGGCTTGAGGACCCAACGGGCCGGCTCCTTCTCCTCCACAGCTATGGACATATTAGAGGAGGTAGGGGTCAGCACTCCCATCGAGAGTGATTGGAGCTACTCCCACCCGGAGCCTTCTCGCTCGCAGGACTTCAGCCCTGAGCCGAGCAGGGAGGCTGAGAGCAGCCTGGGCTGCCCCAGCTTCACCAGCATGGCAACCTGCGAGAGCAGCTATTCTGACAAACCTCCGTCAGAGAAAGCAGACACTGTCTCACACTACTCTGTTGACACTGAAGGTTACTACACCTCCATGCACTTTGACTGTGGTCTGAAAGGTAGCAAAAGCTTCACTTATAACTATGCACCCTCTGGCTCAGAATGTGGCCTGTCTGACTTAAGTGGTCACATGACTCTGGGAAGACGCTGCCTCTCTTTAAGGAAACCAAAGGCGAAGCCATCTCCGCCTAAGAGGAGTTCGTCCTTAAGAAAAATATGCAGTGAGGGAAACATCCCTGACAAGAAAGAACCAAAGATTATATGCGGTCAGCAGCTTCCTCTGTCTTCCAAGGAGAGAAAACTGCAGCTGGCTTTGTCCGGCTCTCCGGGTCACTTAGAAAACTCTTCACTGGTCAGAGAGCCCCTTGTGGTTTGGGGGGTGGAAGGCTCAGCTGATCTTCCTGATTTAGGCGTTTTAAGCTCCACAGATGCACATTCATTTAAGGATGAGGGTGTTGTACAGTCAGACTACGCAGATCTCTGGCTCCTGAATGATTTAAAATCCAGTGATCCTTATCGATCCTTGTCCAACTCGAGCACAGCGACAGGTACCACTGTTATCGAATGCATCAAGTCACAGGAAAGCTCAGAGTCCCAGACGTCCCAGTCGGGCTCCAGAGCCACCACCCCCTCACTTCCATCAGTGGAAGGAGACTTCAAGCTGACATCCCCGGAGAAGCTTGCAGGCCTGGCCAGCCCGTCCAGCGGCTATTCCAGTCAGTCGGAAACACCCACCTCCTCATTTCCCTCCACCTTCTTTCCCGGGCCGATGTCGCCATCAAGCGGCAAGAGGAAGCCCAAAGTCCCAGAGAGGAAGTCCTCTCTTTCATCACTGTCACTGCAGTCGCTGTCTTGCAGGGAGGGAGCGACCTCAAAGAGAGATCTGGAGCTGCCGGTCATCCCTCCCTCCCACCTCGACTTAAGTGCCCTTCAGAGCGTCAACAACAAGGACTCAGCTTACAGGACCCAGATGCAAATCCTGCACCAAAACAAACAAAGACCTGCTGTGTCAGCCAAACCTGTAGCAGCTCCCAGCTCAGACGTATTCAGCACTCACCCCATGTCAATTACACCTACAGTGCTGCACTCCGTACAGCTCCGACCCATCAGTAAGGACCACGAAGAAAGTCGCGATGACAAAGCAGTTTCCAGATTCCAGTACCCCTCTGCAAACTTGCCAAACACACTTTCAAGTAGTAAATCTTTAGAGCTAAAGAGTCCCAAAATGTACAACTCACATCATAATCATCTCACATCTTCAAAGGAGTCATGTGAATCAGTGTTTACCTTAAACGAAGAGCTCGTAAGTGGAGAAGCGGCATGCCAGAGTGAGACAAGGAGCAAACAGGACAAAGAGGCTTGTTTAGAGAGACTGCAGTCAGACCCAAGTTTAGACCAGAAAGGTGTTGATGTCCTTGAGGAAGGAGGAACATTCAGAGAGTTCGTAGAAACATCTGTCTGCTCTGGAGACTTCAGCTCACAGTCAGAGCTTTTACAACAACAACAACAGAACGAACTGTGTGAACAAGAAATGTTTCCTCCTGCCTCTGTCCTGCACAGTTCACCCAACAGATACAACAGTCTAGATAAAGTGCCTGCTACTGACAGCCAGTCGGAGACTTTGCATGTGAGTCCAATCAGCGATGAAGGCAGCAGAGAAGTAGAGAATGATTCATCAGGTGTTTCAGCCGAAAGTGCCTCGCAGGACGACAAGGAGGACTTCACACCAGAGACAGAGGATTATTTCAGTAAAGGTAGACGTCCTGTTCACTAATGCATGTTGTACATTTGTCTTCCTAGCTCCTGGTTTAGTGCCATTATGCTCAGCTTCACTCTGTCTTGTGCACCTTTTCACTTGCTTTTTGCTGTGAGTTTTACCAGTTTGAGGCGATGTTGTTTTATATCCCAAATGTCAAAGCTCTAATCTGGACAGACATGGATGTTTACTGCTCCATGACTGGTTGACGGAGGCAAATAACCACAAGGCAATAATTCTAGTTTATCTAAATGTTTCGCTTATTTCTTATCAGGCTCCCAAAAATATTCAAATTGAATCATCTGAGAGTGGAAATCATCCTTTGATTGAACTCATGTAATGTGATGAAGGGTCACAACTAGTTTTGAAACAATCCAGTTTTATTATACTCAATCACTCTCTTTCTCATGCGCCTTTTCTTCCGCTCTCAGTTTTGCCAGTTTCTAATTTAAAATCAAGGCTTACTTTGTGCATGGTTATCCAGTCAGTGATGAAAATGGAGTTCATAGAAAGAAACTGGCGATTGCTGATGCACAGGATCATAGATTTTGTAACTGTGCAGAACAATTTTTTCCAGCCTTGGAAAGCCTCAAGTTAGAAATGAGGTGTTATGTGGGGATATAAAAAGCAAAACATAAACTGTATATGCTTCTGTTATGAAGTGTTTTAATGCTTTCACATTGTCGGCAGCTGAGGCTTTTTTCAGTTTGTTCATCTGTGGTCTGTCTCTTCATGCACACAACATCTGTTAAAGGAAATTTGTTCCAATTTAGCACAAACGTTTACTTTGAGTCAACAATGAACTGATTAGATTTGGTTACCAAAGGTCAGTGTAATGTCAGAAAACAGAATCTACACACTGACTATGGCTAAAGTTCAAACAATATCTAATAGGATGAAATAATGAAGTGATGTTGTTTTGTAACCAAAATGTCAAAGGTCAAGTCTGGGCTAATAGAGATGAAAACTGCAACTTGACGGGTTGGTGGAGGCATACAAGTTATTGTAATTTTTTTATTATTATTATTAACTCTTTGCCTGTTTTCAATCAGGCCACTGTAATGATTTGAATGATTATTAATTATTAATCATTAACTTATATGTAGTTTATCAAGTATCAATTTAAAGTATCTGGTGGTTCTTGAATGTCGGAAATATGTGTTTTTTTTTACAGATTTTTGTGCAAAACTAGCGATTTAAATATTTATTTTGGGCTCTAGGAACTTGATTTACACAATATGGTAAACTAGTTGGTTCACAATATACAGCCTGCAGTATGTTAAAACGTGTTTCTGTTATCAGACTCGACACCCAGTGACAACTCAGTGTCTCCGCTACAAGATGAGTCGAGGTCAGAGGATGACGCTGTGTTTTTGTCACCCACCAAAGCTCGCACCACTGAGGATCTGTTCGCTATGATACACAGGTGAGTGTTTTGAAGAGAAGCTTCTTTGCGTTCGCTCTGAGTTTACCGAGATTCTTTAATAAACGTCATCGCCCTCAGGTCCAAACGGAAAGTGTTGGGGAGGAAGGACTCCGCCGAGATGGCCACGAGGAACAGACTCAGTGCTGCGTCAGGAAACACACCACCCAGCAGCACAGTGAGCTCCCCGGTGTCACTGTCATCACCCTCCAACGCCGTCACCCCTCCAGGCCTGCAGAGAGTCTCCGGTCCCATCTACAGGAACGCAAAAAAGTCCAGCACCTCCAACGAGGAGTTCAAGCTGCTGCTTCTTAGAAAGGGAAGCCGCTCGGACTCCAGTTACCGCATGTCGGCCACAGAGATCCTCAAGAGCCCCGCCACTCCTAAAACACCTGGAGAGTCCCTGATGGAGTCGCCCAGAAACCCTGAGGAGCTCGCCTCCCCCCTGCAGCAGCAGCAGCAGCAGCAGCAGCAGCAGTCAGGACAAGAGCAGCTCTCCAGCCCCTACCCCAAAGCCAACGCTGAGAGCTTCTCCCCGAAATCCTTCTCCACATCTGCTGCCTCCAGACAGGGACGCTCCAGAATCCCCCCACCAGCCAACAGCAGCCGCTACGGCATGCGCAGCCGGCTGTACTCGGCGCCCATGCAGGCCATCTCTGAGGGCGAGACGGAGAACTCAGATGGAAGCCCTCACGACGACCGCTCATCCCAGGGCTCCACGTAGAGAAAAGCAGAATTAAAATAAGTTTATTAGTTTACAGTAAAAACAAATGGACCAGAATGAAAAATATAATATATATATATATATAAAGAGGTAAAGGCAGGAAGGTGATGAGGTTCATTTGAACAAACCACATTTTGGTAAAAGATAAGTCATAAATTTAGTGATTGTGACTGAATTTTAAAGCTGTTTTCTTTTTGATTATTCTGTGGAAGCAATTTTACCTGTTTTATACAATATGTATTTCTAAAAAAAAAAAATCTTTATGAAATTAACAGTTGATATTAGAAACCAGATTATTTAACATCTGCATTCTGTGGGAAAAAAATAACATCAGAAAAAAAAATCCAGTTTAGTTCCACAGAAAAAGCAGGTTTAGTAGTTCTTTAAAAAACACACACATTTTTTTAATGTTAGTTTAAGGCACATTTCCCAAAGCCATGTAACCCAGCTGGTTGCCTTCCTTCAGCCCTACCACAGTATATTCATGTATGATTCTCTTTGTTCTGCTGTCAGATATAAATCCAGAATTTTCAAAAACCTGTACAAGTTTTTTTTAGTACCTTATAACAACGAACTGTATGTATTCTGTGAATACCTATGCAATTAGACACACAACTTGTACATTTCGTCAAGCCAGTAATACTGATTTATTTTTGATCCCCCCTCCCCAGCTGAACATCAGGACTAACAAAAAAAATGTGAACCTTCAGTCCTTCTATTCACATGACTTGTGAAGAGCATTTGATATGACGTGTTTGTATCTTTTAATCTGTTCTTTTTAAATCATATAGTTAATTATATCAAAGAATGCTTATTACTACAACATTTTAAAATTGTCATGCAATAAATAAGATGAGTAATTAGCGGTGAGACAAGACATGTCAGAGCCAAGCACTAACTTCGACAATCTCTGGAGACAAGAAGGGAGCAGGTGTTAACACGGGAGATGAAAAAGTGATCAAATAAGTTGGAGGTGGTGAAATCTGAGAGCGGACAGGGAGGTTTAAAGAAAAATGAAACAAGGGTCATTTCTGGTTTGCTGACTTGGTGTGTTTAGGAATTGTTGAAAAGAGGCAAGTGGAAAGTGCTCAGGAGGATCAAAAATGCCTTATTTTACTCAGCGGTAAAGAACAAGCGACAGCAGCTCGGGCCTCAGCAAGTTGGGTGTGTTTTTTTGTGAGATTTTTCCAGTTTTGATGGAGGATGTTCGGTTAAATATGGAGTCGAGTTTGATGATAAGAGGAAGCTCTGGATCTTGGCATTTGCTGCTATTTTGTACCAAACGCTCCTCAGACTTTTTTTTTTCTTTTCCTCCCCATCAAAAATGTAACTTTCATATTTCCTGTGTCACAAAACAATCTAAATATATTTATTTTTATAGCAGACACAGAAGAATCTCCCACCTGATCTGGTTTACTCCTTTTTAAAATCTCAACATGAAATTATGCAATGAATTGCTGATATTTTTAATAACATAGTTTATTCAGATGCTTATTTTGTTTATAAGAAGCTAATTTTAGATCTCATTCGAGACACTGGTTGCAGAGACAAACAGGAAAGCAACTCGAAAACGTCATGAAATGATGGCATGAACAGACATAAGCTACATATGAGGTCTTAGCTGTAACTCTGAAGCACTCTGAGGCCGATTTTTTGTCCCACATATTCACACTAATTTTATATATACATGGTTATTATTGGAGTGATGGTACTCAACCATTATGCAAAGTTGACACAATCTATGTAGCCATATTGTCCTGTGGAAGACTCTTCTTCTTCCCTGTAGGTACACTGTCAACGCCAACATAATTTTGGCCTTAATGACACTCCATACAAATGCAATGACATACAGTATAACAGGGTACACAATGGGTTAAGTCTGTGAACCTTCATTCCAACTTTTTTTTTTTTTTTTTTTGCACTGATAAAGTGATGTTTGTGAAGTTTAATTTGTCTCTTGCTGTACCTGGAGATATTTATAGATCTTTACATGGAGCTGTTCAACTTTTCCTTGAATAATAATCACACTCGCTTTAGGAGGGAACTACATACAGTAGATGCTTCTGCCAAAGGCTAGAACATGTACGTCTTAGTGGCATTGAATTATTTTTCTCCTCTCATTCGTTTACTTGACTGAAACATTCTTGAAAACACGAACCATCGCTAGGGAAAACTTGCGGTACTAGATGCATTTCATTCGGACTTCAGATCAACCTCTATATACTGTACTGTAGGTATCAGATTTTTTTTTTTTTTGTACAAAATTGTAAATACAATAACTTTTTGGAATTGTCACAAATGTTGTTAAATTTTTTTCTTATGTAAAAAAAATATATACATGTTTTCAAAGTTTACATTAATTTCAAACCTTTGTATATTTTTGAGCTGTGGAACACTTTGTCTTGTATTTATTTTTTAGTAAGCGTTGTGGAAATCCCATAGTAAATCCTATCAAAGCCAACTGCTAGCACAACAGGCTGCTTAGCAAATGTGTATAAAAAGACAAATAAATGTGACTGCTTTGAAAATCACTCTTTGGGTCTGCCATTATGTTAATTGCTGTCATTATTAACACATTATTTTTTAAGAAAAAAAATCCTTTGCTACATTTCAGAAAGAAATACTGCACTTTTTAGAGTTACTGACCATAATAATCTTTGAAACCCAAAACCCACCAGATTTTAAAGCTTATTTTATTTAAAAAAAAAAAAAAAGAGAGAGAAAGAAAGAAGAGAAAAGAAAAAATCACCAAAAGTACATCATTTATCACAACCAGAAACTGTTTTGTTTTGTTTTTTTTTAGCTTTTTCAAAGTCAGTGAAAATATTGGGTGACGTTTGGTTCCGTAAGGAAGCCCGAGGCCACTATTGTTATCCTGGTTCCTCTTCCGTACAAAAGTTTGCCGGCCTACTCCTCCCACAGATTTGGGAGCACCCACACAAATTATATATCAAAACGTGCGGCTCGATCGGGAATCGTGTGCTTACATACAGATTTACGACAAACGCATTTTTCGCGACACAATTCGCACAAACGTCGCACAAACCTCCCATTGAAAATGAATGGGACGGACGAAAAAAATCACACAAAATTACACTACTTTTCAAACCTACACTGCTCAGCCATGCTTTCACCTAGAGACTCCATTTAAACTTTAAAATCTTGACGCGGCCTTCCCCTATTTCAAAGTGTTTCTACTTTTTTCATATCTTCAATC